TTGATCTTCAACGCATAATCAGCATCGAGCGATTCCCGGCTGAGAAGGTGCCAGAAGTGAAGATATCTAGGCTGAGAAGGGCATTGCGCAGCAGAATAATACTCCCCGTCCAGTCGAAGGTATTCCCTTCCACTGAGATGGACTAGGGCTGTCGCGCAAGCTAAAGCTCGTTCTTTTGCTGGCGCTAACAGCCGATCCTTAGTATCGAAACAGCTTCCAAGCACGCGATGCAGGAGAGAGATTATAGCGGAAACATCAAAATCGAATGGCCATTCAATTTCGGGAACCAGCTGGCAAGCTGCAATGAATACGTTGGGATCTGTAGACGTTTCGAGCAACCATTTTACGGAAGGAGCATCCGAAGATGCGACGGAAATGGCTGGAAATTCGTAGGACAGAGAAATTACGGGAAGGTATGACTCCGTTGCTTTAGAGGGAAGTTTGCCAAACTCGAGATCGCATATCACGGGCGCACGGGACTGTGCAGATAGACTGGATCGCAGAGCTCGGATGGAACGCAAAAAGAACTGGTAACCGTTCGATGAAGAGCAGAGAGTATGCTTCTAGCACTAGAGAGTCCCGTGAGAAACGACTTTCCGAGCGCCACGCCTAATCCAATGTATCGCGCAACATATCGCAAATGGTATAGATCGTATAACTGAACCACGCGAATTTGTATGAGTTGCCAAGCAAGCCTAATGACGATAGACATAGGCGTTTGAAAGGGACAATCCGAGGACATGAGGGATGTGAAGACGGTGAATCCGTAAAGCGTAACGCCAAACAATGTGATGGAGATGATGACACACGCTATTGTCTGTTGCTGAGACCACACGTTGATACTGAGGGAGGCGCCGAAAAGGAACAACGAAACCTGCAACAACGCCGGGAATGATTGAACCACGGCATCAAAGTACCACGTCCTTAGTGCTTCCATCTTCTGTTGCCGTCTCCTTCCACGTTCCTCTATTGAACCATGACCGTATCTGTTGGACTTGTAATGGCCTAACCACTGTTTGCCCAGGATGGCACCAAATGCAGCAAAGAGGCTAAGTAAAAGACTGGCGTAGGCCAGGCTTTGAGCCCAAACATTACTAGACGAGTACCCTGCTGGTTGCGGAAGCGTGATACTCTGGGGTGTCGAAGTACCATTTGCCACAAGTAATACGAGTTGGGTCAGCAGTGCGTTGGTGGCGTCTCCTGGATTATTCTGTGACGCAATTATGAAGGAGGTGGTGACAGCTGAAAAGAGACCCGCCTGCGAGATTTCATTGGGATGATTCGCAAACTGTTCTGAGGAAGGAACGCACGAAAGTGGGGATAATATCGATATCACCATTGTACCGTTCCAGGAACTCGCTGTCGACCTCCTCTGCTACCACCTCATATGTTTCCCAGAACTGTAATCGGACGTCCTTGTCTGCTTTCTCTAGTTCTGAGCGCTTAAGGAGGTCGAGAATCTCGTTTTGCTTTTGGAGAAGACTGTATTGGGAGATATTCAGTTTGTAACGGCTGACGAAGTTTGATGGTCCACTGAGCTACTCACGAGCTAAGGACCTCCGACTGCTTATCGTGTTCCATGACACCAGACGAGGTGCTCGTTCGGTGATAACCCTGACTGACATCGCCAAGGCATCATTGGAGTCTAAAATTTCCATAGTAATCAGGGACGACATATCTATATCAGCACTCAGCAGAAAGATAAATAATAACTGTCACCTGTGGAATGTGGCATATAAGAGCGCACGAGGGCGTCGATGTTCGATGGCTACTGCTTGGTAATCACTCCAGAGGGAAATGTTGACTGGATTACCTACTTACAGCTATACATCCCAGCCCTTTCCCAGTAGAGTATTATGAACAAGTTAGTCACGTCTTACCGTGAGGTGTGAACTCGGCTACTTTCAACAGTGACCCGGCCGTTTGACGCCATATCGGAGGCCCGGAGCTTCCTCACAGTTGTCTCCTCTGATCCACAATGTCGTTCGTCGCACTCTCCCGCTCACATCCGCCATGTAAGCAGCAGCCGCTCGTTTCTTCTCCACAAGCTTGCGTGCCCAGCGCGAATACGCAATGTTCTCGTCTCACGGCCTAGCCCAGGCGTGGCACTCATCACCCTAACAGACCTAAGGCACTTAATGCACTCAATGCAGCGCACTTCCAAGACATATCTGATGCGATGAAGGAGCTGATGAGGATGCCAGTGTGGTGCTATGGTTCTCCTGGGTCAGAACGCGCGTTTGCGGGTGTGTTTCTCAGTCAACCGGATCTTGGACTCGATTAGACTTGTTTTATGCACAGCTGGCGCGGACATCAAGGAAATGAAGGACAAGTCCTGTGAATATCTCTCCTCAGTTCTTGAAACCTTTCTGACAACTTCCCTGAAGTCGCAGAAGCTTACACCACAACTTCCTCGCTGATTGGGAAGTCATCACAAAACTTAACAAGCCGGTTATTGCAGCCGTCAGTGGTTACGCCGTATGTTTTTTAGACTCATTTTTAATCGTCACGTTTTCATTCGGGTTCTTTCCTTCACTCGGTGGTGGCTTGGAGCTTGCATTGCAGGCTGATATTCTTCTCGCAGCGCCTTCAGCACAACTTGGACAGCCAGAAGTCAATCTCGGAGTCATCCCTGGCGGCGGAGGAACCCACGTCTCGCCCGTCTCATTGGGAAATCGCGCGCCATGGAACTCGTCCTCACCGGACGTATAATAGGTGCGGACGAGGCAGAACGCTGGGGCATCGTACGAGTTGTACGTGAGGGCAATGTCGTTGATGAAGCCGTAAAGGTGGCGAGCGAGATCGCAAGCAAAGGACGTATCGCAGTGGGTGCAGGCAAGGAGGCTGTGAATGCAGCATTTGAAATGAGCCTCGCTGAGGGACTGAGGTTTGAGAAGCGGTTATTCCATGCCTTGTTTTCAACCAAGGATCAGAAGGAGGGTGGGCATATTTTTCTATGTTGCGACTAGATTTTACACTGATCCTTTCAATCGTCTAGGCATGACTGCTTTTTCTGAGAAACGAAAGGCAGAGTGGACGCACATCATAAGGGCGTTCTGTATATTACGAGGGCACCTCGTTCGTCAAGATCCCCGTGTTGTCCTGTGTTGACTTGCTTTGAGTCTATCATCTAGGTTTGAGTTTTGACACCAGGGCCTAAGGTTACATCCTAGACTATTACAAACAGAGGTTAGGCAATGATACTCTGATTCCTGACTGATCGGCCTCCAGCCAGATAACGATATCTCAGCGTTTATGTCTAGTCGTGCTAGTAACTTGTGATCAACAATGTGGCACGATTCGATCAACGGCGCGCGACAAGGTACTAGTGGTCCTCTAATTTTGCAACAACGAACATCAACTGACTACAATAGCTTCAATATCATGATATCCATCATTATTTGAACAGAAGCCATTCCTCTTACTGATACATGTTCTCTTCTATTCGCATGCTGCTGCGCTATCACAAACCCACCGAAATCGAAGGCGAACAATCAATCATAACGAGTGAACGAAGGAGACTCAAACCTAACCTATCCAATGTTCTAATGCCCTTTATTGCAGAATAGAAGAGCGGGCTCTCCGAGTCGGTGTGCCTATTTTCATTTCAAAATCTTTGCCAATCGGCCTCTTTACCTTACTTTCTCTTCCATTATCTGTCGTAAAGACATGATGATGCCAATTTATGGATCGTGGTCACTTGACGCGGGCCCACTCTGGAAGGATTTTTAGAGGACGAACAAAGGTTTGTGAGAAATGATAGAGAAGCGATTCGGACTTGGAGTATATGGTGCTGAGCATAGGTCCATAAACTTTGAACAAAAAACATATGACTACAATATTTCTATGGTCCTGATGTCCATTAAGTCTCCGACAGAAACTACGTCGTTGACCTGCCCAATGATATCACGATCCGTCGCAATCCTCTTGTATTCTCCACTGCGCTGCTGCGCTAGCAAAAATGCACTAAAGGCTGCCCAAGGCGAACGAGCAACCGCAATGCTCGTGATTCTAGGTCAAACACCTCTTGTTTTGCAGGACAACCACCAGACGAGTCGTCCAACGGAGAAGAAGGCGGCGTGCAATAATCCTCCTCGTTCTCCGTATCGTCTCCATAGTCAGACGGGTCCATAAATCCAGGCGGTTCTACAAAGTCAGGTAGCTCCTGGAGAGAGACGATCCCAGGGACGGACAAGGACAAAATTTTGTTCAGTGGGCCTTGCCGGCCAGAATTGAACTATGGTCTCTGCGGTGGTGACAAGCAAGTCCACAAGCCCGTCTGCCTTCACTTCATACGTGAAATGATTTTCCGGGGCTGGACTATACACCCGTCTGACTTCACTGACATTGAATGCAATACAAGGCAGATGCAGTCTCTGTGCTGCGAAGCGAGAGGCGCTAGTGTTCCGAAGGAGGGTATAAAGGTTCGAAGCAAAATCAGCAGTCACCGTCTTTCGCAGCGAAGAACCGATGACTGAATTTCATCTTCGGGTAAGGGTGGTAGTCTGCATGGTGGAGCTTCGTGAGTGATGGAGGCTGGTAGACAGCTATTGAACTCTGATGATTTTCCGACCCAATCGAGACCAGTGATGTCGCCCGACCGAGCCACGATCTCCTGCAGGAGCCGCCCGAGAGCCTTGTCCTGCTTCTCACCATAATCTACAGGCAGGCGGACGCCAAAGATGCCAAACACGAGTATGCGATGTCTTCCTGACGTGTGGTAACGCGGGTTGACGCCCAATGAAGTTTTTCTCGGGCGTTATGCATGCTGGAACGGAAGGTTGGGACGACTGGTTGGTCTATGCCCGTCGCTTCCTTTAACTCCTGCATGATCGCGATTGAATCCTTGTGGTTGGGAGTGTGATCATCTTGATAAAGATCCAATCGTTCTGATAAAAGAGAATGACTTTGGAAGCGATGAATTCTTGAACCGTCCATCCGGCGTGTTCCAAGCACTTTATGCCAGTGCGCCAGACTTTGACGAAGGGGAACGTCAGACAAGTAGACAATCGTAAGCGCAGAGTGGTGATACCAGACGAACATGGAGTTAACCGATTCTTGGAGTTCGACGTTGTTGCTCTTATCGATGCAGCATGTATCGTTCCATGCCCATTTATACCCGCATCGCGAGCAGTTTTGCAGACGACCGCAGTTTCGTCATGCCGCCAATGGGATCCAACTCCGAGTCGTATGCGCTGATGCCCTCGATATCCTGAAGCAGAGGCTCCTTCCCTTCCCACCTGTGTGATAGCATGGCATATTGGAAGTACCTCTTCACCACTTCTTCGATGTGCTTCATGTGCAAGTCTCCATGCGTGATTGTTGATGACACAATCTCCTTGTACTCTGTGCTCATTTTGAAGGCGCTTATCTGCGTTTCTCGATCGCATAAAAGACCGTGGTGGTGTCGAGTACACGCACGGCGCATTGTTGAATTGAGCATCAGACCCGTTGAATGACACCTTCTACTTCAGAGAGTTTCAGATACTGCTGGCGTAGCTCTGGGGAAAGAGTTAAACATGTTGACAAATGCGTTATCAGAGGCTTACTTCGCGTCTGAATGTCGGGTGCATTGTCCAATTTCGACAGCATCATTTGGAAGGCCTGAATGGCTTCATCATAGCGCTGTGCACCGTGAAGTGCTGCGTGCTTCAATTTATATCCATGATAAGACAAAGAGTCGATTTCGATGACCTAGAATCTCCACAATGAGCACTGGTTGATCGATAGCTGCCATCGCACCTTCTGCGCATCGAGAAGGGCTTCCGTCCATAACATTTTGCTCAACTTCGCTTTACTGCGGTTTGCAAATACGGTATCAGATGCAGAATGCAAGTTGATTACCGCAGAGTATAGGTCAATAGCCGTGTCATAATCGCTCACAGCAAGGGCAGTATCTCCGTTAGCAACACAGAGAACGCTACAATCGTTCCTTGAATTCTGAGTGAAATACGGGTGAGTATGAAACCGGTGAAATAATAAAAACTCACCATTGGACCAATTGAGGCAGCTGGCCTTTGCAGATTCGTCAACAGCGTACATCATGTATTTGTATGCCTCGAGGCTTCATCGGGTTTACCTGCCGAAGGAAAGCCTGGCACCGATTCTGGTGTAGTTAGTAACAAGGACTCGAGATCCCAGCCAAAGAGCTGACAAAAACTCAGTTATGAAAAGCATCATGTATGCATCATCTTCACGCACCACGGTCAAGTCCTGGTATATAAAATGATATATTTCGATGAGAAAGCAGTGGAGTTCACAGCGGCAGTGAAGTGATCAACAGCTTCGTCGTGACGCGCACCATTGAAGGCTTTCATTCCGAGCTGAACACGTAGATATTCCTAATGTGCGAGCAACAAAGATCATCATCGATGACTAAAGATAGCTGCATGATACTTACCTCCACAACCCAGACGCGCAAGAGGATCGGTATCCGAACAAGCGGTAGCGAGTTCTTTTATGAGCACATTGCTTCTTCATATTGACCTGCGCTGAAGATTGCGATTGCCTGAAATACAGAATGAAGCAGAGAGCATGCAGATCAAATTTAAGCTACCTTGATCAAGAGAAGCAATTGGTTGGTGGCTGAATCCTGGTTCGTGAACATGGATGCACCATCGAAAGCTATTCTTGCTTCCCGGATTTGGCCTTTTCCGCACAGGGAAATGCCTTTGGAAATATAGCCTGTCAACGAAGGATGGATGCTGATGGACTATGTCATGGATAATAGTTAGCCACTTGGATCGTGACGGGTCATCCATCTCACCATGATTGCATCCCAGGGCGTGATCCCAGGCGTGTTTCCGGCCATAACGAATGACCGATTGGCATATGAAGTATAGTTGTTCGCATCGGTGTGGATCTCTTGAGTAAGTAGCTCTTCAGCGGTGAATAGGTCTCTAGTTACACATGCGTCGCGGGCTGTCGCTATAGCCAAAATCTGCACGAAGAATGCTCGAATTGTGTTATGAGAGTCAAGGATCGAAACTCGCCTTTGAATTAGTGTCGCTGGGTACTGTCCACTCTGACATCTTGTTGTCTTCACCTACGCTGAGGATGTGCTTGCCGTCCAACACATGTCAGGCTAAATATGTGCTGGAAGATAGCGACAGTTCGTCGATCTGAAAGCCGCCAGAGACAGATACTATTGTCACCAGATGCAAAAGCGATGAGGGTGCCAGCGGATGAATGGCAATGGTGGTGATACCGTGGGTGTAGTCCGAGATGACTGACCTGCTGCCAGGTCAATGGATCCCACTCCCGTATGTGATTACCGTTTGCTGAAGAAGGCGTGTGCTATCGGGCGTCCATGCCAGTGAGAGGGTGTGTTCTTTCAAAATGCGACGCGCTGCCTTGTGTCTGGATCATAAATGTGGATATTTGCGGATGTTGCGATGGCAAGAAGTTCGGCAGATGGCGAATGTCGAATGCAGTTAAGGTAAAGGCGACAATTGATTGGTTCTCCTTGCGTCTGCCATGTGTTGGTACACACCAAAACTTCACAGTGTGGTCATATGAACCAGTGGCCAGCACCGTGCCGTCTGGAGAAAAATCCAAAGATATGATTGCATCGGAGTGGGCTTTGATAGGTTGAGTGATGGATTCGCCAATTTCACCGTGCCAGGCGATGAGCTCTCCATTTTCACACCACCGCTTGCTATTATTTGCCCAGCTGACGATACCGCCAATGCCTGCACCCCACTGCTATGCCCTTCCATCTTCTTCAACACGGCAGCAGTCCCCAAGTCCCACAGACCAAGTGTCTTGTCCTCCGAGCCTGTAATTATTCGTGGTTTATCGGGGAACACTGCGACTGCCCTTAACGGTGTTCTCATGATTTTCAAAAGTTCGACGGGGTGTAGTGCTTGGATGAGCTGCGACATTTTACTGGAGATGGTGTTGAGCACGGTTCATGCATTTGGTGTCCTTCTCTAAGTTGCAGAGGTGCGTGCATAGTATGTTACTACTTCATCACACTAAATTCCTTCTCGCTTCCATAGACGCCCAAGACACGAGGCAGTTCGCCATCACGATCCGTTCCGGCAAAAACGCTCCCTACTCCGACCCTACTCCGACTCATCCCCTAGCCTTTACAATATATCCTGTCTCATCCGACAGTGATAGTGCAATTTCTACTTCCTGGCCCTTGACGTTGGATGAAAGCTGATCATGTAACTCGTCCGAGAGCACGTAGCTCACTGCAATATCATCTACTCATCTCTTCTCTCGTCTCAAATTCGCTCCTAATGAAGGTATTTTCGTCTTTCAATACGTGGTTTATCCAAATCATGATTTTTAAAGCCGTCAGTCTTACTTCGAGCGCTCCGGCTCATTTTGCCGTCTTTCTACGCTCGACCTCTCACCTACGTACATGGGCTACGCTGGGCTCAGCCACAATGTATAAGAGCTCTCAACTCCTCTTTACTGCGCGTTGTTGCCAACAAAATGGACGTTCCAGGAAGACAACAGTGCGTAACTATCTGTTCTGTTAGGGGAGTCGTAGAGGCGGGTGAGTGCATTTTATTTCGTGATATGTTCATGACAACTGAATACATGGCCTGCGTTCAACGCGCATCACCAGGTAAAAGTAAAAGTGACTCCTTCTGCTGCATAGGTGCGTGTACTGTGCGTTTATTACCGATCAAATACATGAACCTCAGGCTGGGCCATTCACTGTCACAACGGCTTGCTGAGCTCGCTTTGCCCCCACTACTGTCGCAACGGTTGTTCAGAATAAAGAAATATTATCTTCACGATTGAGAAGTTCTAGTCAAAGGATCAAAAGCACAAGTTCCCGGCAATGCTCCGGAGAAAACACTACACTACTTCAAGTTTGCAAACCTCTTTACTTCCACGAGAAGGCAAGCACTTGCCGCAGTTATTCGCCACCCTCCACAGCGAGACTTCTCCTCTGGCTGAGGCACTGCTGTGAGACGGACGATCGCAAAATCTACCAGAACGCTCTCGGCACTCTTTTCCGGGACGGTCGATGCGAAAGACATGTCCCCAGCTTCCGAGTCAGGCTCGTGGTCTCCTTCTCCTTCTTCGTTGTCACCGGGGACTTGGGTGCCTACTGCAACATCCTCCTCTCCCTGGGCTGCCCTTTCTTCTACTTCTTCGAGAACATCACCATCATCTGCGCCTTCAAGTTGGCCATTATGCTTTACAATCCAAACTGGGAATTGAGGCCTTTGGTTACGGTTGTCTTCCATACCTGCCAGAACCTATGGTCTTTCATATGTAATACGGACGGCATACATCAAGGTGCCACAATTGAATTTGGCACAAGATCGAAGAGCGTCTGACACCATAGTAGAATTCCACGTTAGGGGAATTGACTGTGCGAGAGAACGCATATGACGTCTCCAAGCGAGCCTTTTGTGGCAGCGATTGATCACGGCCATTGCGAACTATGAGTATGTTAATATATGACATGCGAATTTCAATTTTTTGCGAAGAATATATCATTGAGAATATGTTATTCCGACGTCGTAGAAGCATTCACTATGAACGATAACAAAGTCTTTTGCAATTGACACCGAAGACAGAATAGGACAACAATGAATGAGCAAACACGAAAACGGTGATTCAAGTTGTGCACCAGTTGCCACTTGGCACTAGCCCAACGGGGCACAGGACCGCAAGTCAACTAGTCATGACCTGGTAGTAGAAGCATGCAGTGCCTCGTCACATGACACCCCACTTGGTTCAGGGTGTCATGTGACGAGGCACTGCATGCTTCTACTACCAGGTCATGACTAGGAGCTTGTTCGGTAATCCACGTTAGAGCAACTTTACTTCAATGCACAATTTTGATGTGGCGCAGGTGTGTCTGAGTTGTGAGCGGAGACTGAAAAGGATCAGTGCTGATCATCACAGGTATTACGAGTCGGTACAACATACCAGCCATGGATCCACAGGGACTCCTATCAGTAAATCAGCCACTATTCCCTAATCCCATTACCCCCCATGGGGGGCATCTCACTGCAGCTCATCTTCTTCAGCAAACTCAACCGGATACGGTGCACATCGCAAGAGCAGAAGTCCGCAAGCGCACTTTCCGTTACATTGCTCTCCTGATAAACATATTGCTTGCCGCTACTACACATCTACTCATACAACAGACCCCTGAGGATCCTGAGCCCTACCACACTTCGTCATTGACCAGTCAAGAATGGGTGATGGAATTAATTGTTGGCCACCCTGAACGCATACGCTGTGAGCTTGGGGTGCACGCTGAGGTCTTTGAGAGTTTGGTCAACGATCTTCGAAGCCTTGGCCATGCAGATTCATGCCACGTATCATTAGAGGAGCAGCTGGCAATATTCCTATATGCGTGTGTGACTGGATTATCTTTAAGACATCTCGCGGAACGATTCCAGCGGTCAAATGATACAGTCTCTCGGTTTGTAGTTTGCAAAACCTTGCTTGAACTTAGTACTAACCCCAAGTCACTCATATAACAGCTATTTCTGCAAGATGCTCTTTATTTTTTCGTCCCATCCATTCTACACAACACATGTCCGCCTTCCCACTGACAGCACACCTGTCTCAAGTGAAATTCGCGACAACCCAAAACGCTGGCCTTACTTCAAAGATGCCATCGGAGCGATTGACGGCAGTCATATCCATGCATACCCTCCTTCACACAGCCACCACCTCTATTACAATCGCAAAGGCTTCATCTCTCAAAATTGCCTTTTTGTGTGCGATTTTGACCTCAATTTTACATTCACACTGACCGGCTGGGAGGGATCAGCAACCGATGCTCGACTCTGGGATGTAGCTCGCAATGATGGCCTGAATATCCCGCCTGGAAAATATCTTCTTGCTGATTCAGGGTTCCCCTCATGTAAAGAGCTCTTAGTCCCCTATCGTGGCATTCGCTATCACCTTGCTGAATGGGGCCGTGCTAGCACTAGGTAAACCTTCAGTTGTTTTTTTTTGCTCATCTGACATTATTTTTTAGACCTGTTAACAAAGAAGAGTTGTTCAACCTCCTGTCATGCATCAGCTCACAACGTCATTGAACGAATTTTTGGTGTTGTGAAACTGTCGTTTTCGCATCCTTCTCATATCCCCTGAATATAGCATTGACATTCAGGTGCGGGTTCCTACAGCGCTATGTGCTCTTCACAATTACATCCGCGCTCATGACCCAGACGAAGGTCCTTTGCCGCACATACCCGTTGTCAATGACAACCATCACGACACCTTCCCAGCACCTCCAGGACATGCCGACACCGATAACTCAGGTGCAGCGCCCATTCATACCAACGCAAACAACCTTCGTGATCAGATTGCAATGCAAATGTGGGAGGATTATCAAAACTACTTGTATGAACGAGACTTGATGGATGTAGATCAGTTCTTGGAAAGTGATGAGGAGGCGGCTTCAGATGATGAACAGTATGCAGAGCTTGAAAATGATGCTGACAATGATGATGCTATTTGATACAGTAGTAGTACAACATTCTGCTACTACTACAAAAATGGAATATTGTGCTTGACTTGTTGAATGATAGACTGCAAAAAACCAATGCGAAGCTCCGGCATGGTACTCAAATACACAGTGCATATTCTCGCATTCAGCAAGAATGCGTTCAAGAGGACAATCTTCTCATCATGCGACAAGTCCTCTTCTGCTTGCATGCTGTCCAGCGCACGTCTTGTTTCATCCGCCACCCGAGAATCTTCAGTGACGGTCGATGTTGTAAGACCATCGGTCAGGCGATTAATGGAACCTTGCAGGTTCATCCATGCGGCGGCGCTGGCAGCATCTTTGCCCTTTCTGCCACCATTCCCACTGCTACGCCGACTCGTACCCGTTAACTTGAGCTTCTTGCTGTCGGATTCTGATGGTACCAGCTGCGAGACCGACTCAGACATGATGGATGCAGAAGGGGCAACTGACGTCATATCGTCGAGCTGGCGCTTTCCCAGGCTAGAGGTAGAAGAAGGAGGCGGCATGAGGGCGGGGATACTAGTACTGACATCATGAGTGATGTTGCTGGTGCTGGTGCTGGGACCTGGTACTGGTGCAGCATCATCAGTGATGTTACTGACACTGGGACCTGGCACTGGGACTTGAGTGCCAGTTGCAGCTGATGATGTGGGGTTGTATGAAGCAGATCCATGTGCAATGCTGTTAGTCGGTAGGATTTGGTCCATCTTGTTGTAGAACCTCCAACCGGTGTTCTTGAACGACTTCATGGACTTCCCAGAGCTGCTCTGTGGCAAGATAAATTCAGCTGAAATTAATACATAAATGTGATTACATACGTGAATAAATTCATTCCACACAGATTCAGCTGCCTCCCCCTGAATGCTAGCACCATGTTCACTATCCCAATGACACTCGGATCGGTTGCGATATTTCTCAATAGCATTGTAAGTAGATTTTAACTAAAATATTTGCATCAGCGATGGCTGGACTCAGAGTGGCACAAGAGACAACATACCCCCTGCCCATTTAACCCTGCAATGTGATGCCGTCTTTACTGGGCCACTTTTCTTCAACCCTGCGATCTTGAGGGCAGCTTCATTGTAGGTCGGTTCTTTGAAGTTGGTTCCAGCCAACTTTGATCGTTGTGTGATAAGATAGTCGAGGAGGGCATCAACCTCAGCATCCTCCCAGTGAGCCTTCTCCTTTGGTAAAGACATTTGTATCAGCTGGAGTTGGCTACAGATTATGAAAGTAGCGACTGCTACAAAGATCTGCTTTCTGCGCTGATCATATGCGCGATGGCTGATAACAGATTTCGTGGCCATGGTCGGAAGGGAAAAACATTCAATCTCCAACACCGGCGTTCGTCATGCCGCCTGTTCAATGCTGTGCATTGTCAAACTTTGTGCCCAACTTTCATTCAAACTCAGGTTACCAAACAAGCTCTAGTTGACTTGCGGTCCTGTGCCCCGTTGGGCTAGTGCCAAGTGGCAACTGGTGCACAACTTGAATCACCGTTTTTGTGTTTGCTCATTCATTGTTGTCCTATTCTGTCTTCGGTGTCAATTGCAAAAGACTTTGTTATCGTTCATAGTGAATGCTTCTATGACATCGGAATAACATATTCTCAATGAACTCGAAAAGAGCACGAACCCCTCCAGATACTGCACCTCGATCTACTGATGACACGCGAACAACGAAGCATGCACAGTTGAAGAGCATCAATACGTGCGCTGGCGGCCTGGCATATTCAGATTCTTGCGCGTCTTCTGGCTGGAGAAAGAAAATCCATCGACGGTGCCTTCTTGACGATCTGTGAGCTGACTGACTTACACGTGCTAGAACTCGTGCAATAAACTCATTGCTTTTCCACAGTCAAATGTGTGAACGCACCTTCATTCTATCAGTCGCAAATGTTTTTGCGCATCGTTCTGCTAACTTGGATTTCATTCCCTGCAAAGTGTCCCTTGAATCGCGCCATCATGGAGGTCGTTCTCTAACCCCTTGTTTGTGCAGGACGATCCAAGCAAATTCAAAATTTCTACAACTTTCAGAGCATTGTCCTCGGGTGACGTCCAAAGGTATTATGATTCATATGCTAAACTAAGCTGTACACATGCAAGACATAAGTTTGATGATTATAATTGGCTATGGATGGTGACGCCAAAAATCTGAAGGATACTCATTAGTACTTTTCGAGAAAATACTCTTTACCCTGCGCGAATGGAACATCGATAACAGGTGGAGTTGCATGATGGGGCAGCTGGGTGAATAGGTGTTGTAGGTGAGTTTTGAAGGTAGTGGTGAGGGCGACTGGTGGTGAGGTGGTGGGTGGTATAGGTGCAGGAGCTGACTGACGCTTCCTCGCTATAGCAAGTTCAAGTCTTTTGAGGTGCCCAGGGCGCTGTTGAGGTCTTGGCCGTGGAATTTGAGAATGGTGTAATGAACTATGTTAGACAGAAGAGGAGGATATGCTATTGCACGAACTTGATGCATTCCGTGGAAGAAATTGGGTTCTATATCATACCCATCTTGCCCCTGCTCGGGTATCTCCGCCTGCATAATGGTCAGTATCGAAAGAGTCGAGGAAGGAGGTACATACGCCAAGGATACTCTCATCGTGCGCAGCAAGTGCACTGCATTGCTCTTTGAACTATGTGACATGCGGGTGAGCACAATAGTCGTGGGTGATATGACGGGAGACTAGCCGTTGGACCAATCGAGGCAGCTGGCCTTCGCAGTTTCGTCAATGGTGTCCACCAGTGTTTGTGTGTTTCGAGGGCTTCATCGGGGTTGCCTGCTGAAAGGAATGCCTGGCACCGTTTCTGATGTGTCGTTAGCAACGAGGACTCAAGGTCCCAGCCGAAGAGCTGGACAAAACACTCACAGTATTATGTATGCATCACGCTGACGCACCGTGACCAAGTCCTGGTATATAAAATGAATATATTTCGATGAGAAACCAGTGGAGTTGACAGCGGCAGTGAAGTGATCAACAGCTTCGTCATGACGTTGTCATGGTCCCACTCTCCAAGGTTTTTAGGAGACGAACAAAGAGTTGTGAGAAATGGTAGCAAGGCAATCAGATTTAAAGTATGATGTGTGCTCGTGACAGTCTAGCTGATGCACCACAGATGAGCTGAGTAGCGATATGTCAGACACTTACATAACATCTCAGAGACGTAGTAAAGACTGATTACAAGTCTAACCCGAGCGCACATGTGCGGGCACCGATCTATACTGCAATACACATGCATATATGAAACATACACCATATGAGTGCCATCTTTAAAGCACGTGCAAATGCAATCTGCTCAGAGTTAGCTCAAGGTCCATAAACATTGAAACAAAAACACGTACGACTACAATATTTCTATGGTCCTGACGTCCATCAAGTCTCTGACAGAAACTACGTCGTTGACCTGTCCAATGATATCATGATCCGTCGCGATCTTCTTGTATTCTACACTGCGCTGCTGCGCTAACAAAAATGCACTGAAAGGCTGCCGAAGGCGAACGAGCAACCGCAATGCTCGTGATTCTAGGTCAAACACGTCCTGTCTTACAGGAAAACCGCTAGATGAGTCATCTGACGGAGAAGGCGACATGCAATAATCCTCCCCGTTCTCCGTATTGTTTTCATAGTTAGACGGTTCTACGAATTCAGGCGGTTCCACAAAGTCAGGTAGCTCCAGGAGAGACCGATCCCAGGGACGGACAAGAACAAACTTTTGCTCAGTGGGCCTTGCCGGCCAGAACTGAATCAGAGTCTCTGCAGTGGTGATAAACAAGTCCCGAAGTCCATCTGCCTTCACTCTATACGTGAAATGAGTGTCTGGGACTGGGCTGAGCACCCGTCTGACTTTCCTGACATTGAATGCAATGCAAGGCAGATGCAGTCTCTGTGCTGCGAAACGAGGAGCGCTCGTGTCCCGAAGTAGGGTATAAAGGTTCAAAGCAAAATCGACAGCCTTCGTCTTTTGCAGAGAAGAAATTGATGACTGAATTTCATCTTCGGGTAGAGGTGGTAGCTTGCACGGTGGAGTTCTGTATGAAGTGATAGAGGCCGGTAGACAGCTATTGAACTCTGATGCTTTTCCGATCCAATCGAGGCTGGTGATGTCACTGGACCAAGCCACGATCTCCTGCAGGAGCCGCCCGAGAGCCTTGTCCTGCTTCTCATCATAATCTACAGGCAGGCGGACGCCAAAGATGCCAAACAACAAGTATGTGATGTCTTCCTGACGTGTGGTAACTGTGGGTTGACGCCCAATGAAGTTTTTCTCGGGCGTTATGCATGCTGGAACGGAAGGTTGGGACGACTGGTTGGTCTATGCCCGTCGCTTCCTTTAACTCCTGCATGATCGCGATTGAATCCTTGTGGTTGGGAGTGTGATCATCTTGATAAAGAGTCCAATCGTTCTGATAAAAGAGAATGACTTTGGAAGCAATGAATTCTTGAACCGTCCATCCGCGCGTGTTCCAAGCACTTTATGCCAGTGCGCCAGACTTTGACGAAGGTGGAACGTCAGACAAGTAGACAATCGTAAGCGCAGAGTGGTGATACCAGACGAACATGGAGTTAACCGATTCTTGGAGTTCGATGTTGTTGCTCTTATCGATGCAGCATGTATCGTTCCATGCCCATTTATACCCTGCATCGCGAGCAGTTTTGCAGAACGAGCGCAGCTTTGTCATGCCGCCAACCGGATCCAACTCCGAATCGTACACGTCCTTGCCCTGGATATCCTGCAGCAGCGGCTCCTTCCCTTCCCACCTGTGTGACAGCATGGCATATTGGAAGTACCTCTTCACCACCTCTTTAATGTGCCCCATTTTTTGCAAGTCGACATGCACGATTGTTGATGACACAAGCTCCTTATACTCTGTGCTCATTTTGAAGGTGCTTATCTGCGTGTCTTGAACGCATAAAAGACCAGTGGTGGTGTCGAGTACACGCAGCGGAGCATTGTCGAGTTGTGCGTCAATAAACCGTCGAATACTATGTTCTACCTCAGAGGGTGTGTGATACTGCTGGCGCAGCTCTAGAGAAAGAGTTAAACATATCGACAAATGTGTATCAGAGGCTTACTTTGTGTCTGAATGTCGGATGCATTTTCCAATTTCGAGAGCATCGTTTGGAAGGCCTGAATCGCTTCATCATAGCGCCGCGCACCATGGAATGCTGCATGCTTCAGATGGTATCCAATATAAGACGAAGAGTCGAGTTCAATGACCTATGCATCCCCACAATGAGCATCGATTATGGGACGATAGCCGCCATTGCACCTTCTGCGCATCGAGAAGTGCTTCCGTCCATAGCATTTTGCCCAACTTTGCCTTACTACGATTTTCAAAGACAGCATTTGATGCAGAATTCAAGTCGACTACCACCAAATATAGGTAAATGGCCCTGTCATAATCGCTGGCAATGAGGGCAGCATCTCCGTTGGCAATACAGAACGCGATGCATTCTTGTTCGAAAGCTGAATCAAATTGGGGTGAGTATGATAGCCCAGGTGACATCACTAAATACTTGCCTTTGGACCAATCGAGGCAGTTGGCCTTCACAGATTCATCAATGACATCCACCATGTATTTGTGTGCTTCCAGGGCTTTATCGGGTTTACCTGCCAAAAGGAAAGCCTTGCATCATTTCTGGTGTGTCGTTGGCAACAAGGACTCAAGGTCCCAGCCGAAGAGCTGGACAAAACACTTAGTTACGCAAAGTATTATGTATGCATCATGCTGACGCACCACGACCAGGTCCTGGTATGTAAAATGAAGGTTTTTCGATGAGAAAGCGCCGGAGTTGACAGCGGCAGTGAAGTGGCCAACAGCTTCGTCATGACGCGCACCATCGAAAGCTTTAATTCCGAGCTGAAGACGTAGATATGTCTATCGTGCAAGTTGCAAAGATCAGCGTCAATGGATAAGCGCAGTTACATGATACTTACTTCTACAACACTGTGCGCGTCAGGATCTCTATCCGGACAAGCGGCAGCGAGTTCTTTAATGAGCAGCATTGCTTCCTCGTGTTGATCTGCATTGAAGAGTGCGATGACCTGAAATACAGGATAGAGTAGAGAGTAGGCGAGACACGTTGAATATACCTTTGTCAAGAGAAGAAAGTGGTCTGTGACTAAATCTTTGTTTGTGAACAAGGATGCGACGTCGAATGCTATCCTTGCCTCACAGACAAGGCCTTTTCCACAGAGGGCGATACCTTTGGATATGTAGCCTGTCAATGAAGGCTGAATGCTAATGGACTATGTCACAGATGAAAGTTAGCCTTAGTAAGGGGAACAGTATAACTCACTTTGATTGCATCCTCAAAGGCATGGTCCCAGGCGTGTTTCTGAGCCATAACGAATGAGCGATTGGCATATGAAGTAAAGTCGTTGGCGTCGGTCTGGATATCTTGGGTGAGTAGCTCCTCAGCAGTAGACAGGTCTCCGATTAGACATGCGTCGCGGGCTGCTGTGATAGGCAGTATCTGCACGAAGGATGCTCGAATTGGGTTATGAGAGTTGAGGATGAAATTTTGAAAACTCGCCTTTGAATAAGGACTGCTGGCTACTGCCCACTCTGAGATCTTGTTATCATAAGCTCTGCTGAGGATGTGCCTGCCGTCCATAGAGAACGTGACACATAAGGGGTTAGATGAAAGCTGGAATATGGCAATGGTTTGTCGATCTGAGAGCCGCCATAGACGGACATGGTTGTCACTAGATGCAGAAGCGGACAAGGGTGCCAGGGGGATTAATAGCAATGGCGTTGATCCGTTGAGTGTGGCCTTTCCAGGGATGAATTGATGACCGACCTGCTGCCAAGTTCTTGCATCTGCCACATTTTGGTACACCAAAGCTTCGTCACACCGTTATTTGAACCAGTGGCCAGCACCGTACCATCAGGAGAAAATTCCACCGAGAAGATTCCGAAATCCTGAGGCTTTGATAGGCCCTTGGGTGACTGGTGATGGACTCGCCAGTTTCTCCGTGCCAGGCGATGACCTCTCCATTTGCATCACCAGCTTGCTATTATTTCACCATCTCGTGATACCACCAATGCACACACTCTAGCCCTATGCCCCTCCATCTTCTTCAACATAGCACCTCTCTCCAAGTCCCAAATACGAAGTGTCTTGTCATGCGAGCCCGTAACCATTCGTCGCTTATCGGGGAACACTGCGACTGCCCTTACGATCTCCTCGTGACCTTCAAAAGTTCGAAGGGGCGTGTTGCCTAGAATGAGGTTCGACATTTGATTGTATATTGATGGTGTCGAGCACGGTCGACAAATTGTGAGTGTCTTTCTCTAAGTTGCTGAGGTACGTGTATTGTACGTTTTTATGCTGCACGTTAACTTGCTTCATTTCCATAGACGCCTAAGACACGAGGCAGTTCGTTATCACCGTTCCAGCAAGAATTCTCCCTATTAGTCATAATTGCCTTCCTCGGCTGCACTGTGTACATTCGTCCCACTCATATCTCCACAGCTTCCAGGATATCATGATATCCCCTCCAATCCAAGTGCAGTTACTACATCCTGTCGCTCGAGTGTGGCTGAACAGTGCAGTCTGTCTATGTGGCATAGGTTGCCGCATGCGTATCATTGTTTCTCAAACAGTCTTCAGAGTCTGTATGTAACTTGTCTGCACGTAACTTCCTGTATCAATCATATGATCTCGTCCATTTTCAAGATATGGGTATGCACGAGATGCAACCAAATTTCTGGCTTATCGTGTCTCAAATCTGCTCACAATGGAGCACTTGCCGTCTTTCAACACGCGTTTAATCCAAATGATCATTTTCAAATCCATCCGAACACCCTTGGTTCAAGCGCTTTACTCCTCACTCATCTAAATTCTCAGCCAACTCAATTGATTTTCATTTTTCTCCTTCGCTAATTACCTTCCCATTGCCATTCTTATTGCAATCCTCCACCAGAAATACGGTAGTAACAGTCTAGTGACTAACATCGGTGAGCCGCTCTCACTACAACCAAAGCTGCGCAAGCCTGCATCTCATAATTGACATCTCACTGTGGTGTTCAGGAATAGCAATAGGCGACTGTGATGATTGTGAGTGCTTTCATCAGTTGCAACACAATTATGGGTACTTGGCAAAATTTGGAGCTTTTCCCGATGAGCTACTATAATAGTGTTTGACTGAATGCTGTAATGCTATACTCTCTGATGTGGGGAGACTGTGGGGAACTGTCGAAAAATGTTGATACCTGGGAAAGATTTGCTATGAGCATTGTAGGACCTTACTGTGGGAAACTGTCGAAAATGTTGATGTTTGTGTCCATATCTTGTCTATCAGAAGGCGACAGTATCACCAAGCGGCTTAACCTACGAGTATGTTGTCAATACTCTTGTCGGGCGCATTACCTGTGGCACCAACCATGCACACGTCACCATGGCCCTAAGACAGGCCACAAGCCCATTATCAGTGTCTTAAAACTAAGTGTCCATCATGATGGCATACCTCAGGAACTGATGGGCAATTACTGTGAAATGACAGCCAAAACTTGAAATTCAAAGAACTCCTCATTGTACGAGACTCTCCTCATCACCTCTCCCCATCACCTCTCTTCACCAACACTCGGTTAAACTGCAGCACGCAGCCTTGCAACTACACACAAGGTAACATCCAAGGTGGTCTCAAGCTTCACTTGATCTCGTCACTCAATCATTTGCACAAACACGGAGGTTTGGGAATACAACATTACTGTCTGGCAGGCTGCCAAAAATCATCAATGCGCTGCCAAGGGTGGCACTGGTGGGAATGGTTGAACAGGCCTGAACTTATGCTGTCGCTTACTCTCCACTACCATCATTTTTACTTTCAGAGTTGGACACAGAGGACACAATCCAAGCGCTCTTGTCACTGATGTACGATGGCATTGTATCTAAATTTACTCTAGCACTGAAATCCCGTATGAAATATCGTCCAGTTACGGTATTGATCTATGCGGCCGTGCCATTAAAGAGAGCTGAGTGAACAGACATTTTTTCTGAACTGCACCATGACCCCTCTACACTTAGTGGCTATCTTTTCGTGCATTCCATTTGTCTGTGGTTCACTGTCGAGCCTCAATGGCACTAACATCCCCACAGTCGATGTCAACGATTCTCTATCCTACAATTACACAAGATCCCTGTGGGACATCATCTGGAGCTGTTGCTTGACCATATTCACTTGTACATGGACCGCAGTCCATCCAAACATTCTGGGTATGTACGAGAGCAAAGCTATGAAAATCGCTCGTCGTATCGGAATCATGATCCTGGCGATTGTTGCTCCAGAACTCATGATCACTTGGGCTATGCGGCAATTCTTGAGTGCCCGTAGGACTGCAAAGCAATTCAGTAATTCTGATAAGTATGCCTCGTGTGTCCTAGACTATATACATTGATATTTCTTCACAGGATGGGGAATGACTCATGGGTTTTTCGTGTGGATGGGTGGATTCATGCTCTATGTCAATGGCGTGCAGCGGGCCACTCTTACACCCGATGAACTCCTGCAGTTTATTCATGCAGGACTCATTGACATGCCTGCCATCACAGTGGACGAGATAGATGACCGAAGTAAGATTGATGCACTATCTAAATGGGTCACAATTCTTCAGCTGGTGTGGTTTGTCTCCCAACTCGTCGCCCATCATGTCCAGAAGCTGCTGATGACACTGCTTGAAACAGAGACGATGGCTGTAGCCACTCTGACCTGGATTTACTATTTCTTGTGGTTGAAGAAGCCTAAGGATGTAGGGATTCCTTATGCCGTTCATTGGAAGGGAGCTACAGGACCCAATGGCTTGACTTATGAGTATGTTGTCATTTTTTCCCCTGAGGTAGCCCTGTTTAGCCTGCATTTTAGCAAGTGGGATCCACGTTGGGAAATAAAAGATTCCCTTCATTATCTTATGAAAAATTGGGCCCTCGTTTCTCCCTCGGCGGTCAGGTCTCGTCGTGTTCAATCTCTAGGTGGCTATGGCGAATCTTATCATCAGGAAAAAACAAAGTGACTACATAGCACTATATAGTCAGGGTAGCACAAGTAGCCCCGTTGTCAAGTGCCCTCTATGTAGTCACCATAGGGTCCCGTAGTAACTACTAGTAGCTACGAGGTACTACTGTAGTTTGTTGGAGTGCTACTAAACGCAGCTATAAATTACTACCAGCAGCTATATAGCACACCAAAGAACCTCGTAGTAACAATTAAATTCAAGCACCTGAAACACAAACTAGCATAATACGAATGTCTTACTCACTGCATCCCTATTCATCATCCCCACCCTCACTACTAGGATACTCATACTCCTCGACCTCATCCTCGACTGCTGCATCCTTCCCCTCATGCTGGTACTCTCGAATAGTGTCTTCAAACACCGCGTTGTCAATGTGGGCCTGGGATGTAGCTGACAATGGAATGAGTGATGCGACACCTGCGTGGAAGCTGAGAAGTGTGAGCATTAGAAAAGTCAGTGAGATAAGAGTCCAACATACCGCGCTGTATCATGCAGATTGATACAAATTTTTGAGAGGAGTGTGTAAGCCACCGTGCGCTCATCAAAGCGTTGCAGTGAGCTGAAATGATGGTTGTAGACGGCCCCATAACCAGCAGATGTGAACTTGATGTCCTCTTTGATGCCTTGTGACCACTCATCGACACAACATTCTATCTATAAGATACTATTGTCAGCATCATCAAGTTGAAAGTAAGAATTTGAAAAATGGCTCACAACCGTAAGCACGAGCGCAATAGTTTTGATAGGGATGGGGTTGAAGTATTTGTGGTAGATGACACCCTCGTCACTTCGGTTCAAGAACCACATGCCGTTGATACCCTGTTGAAGCAACTCAGTCTTGTAGATGCCTGACTTCGATGATGGGTCCTATTGCTCAATGTCAGCACTAAGTTATGTAGACTGTCAAATACTCACCTTGAAAACAAAGATCGAGCCAATTTTCAATCTCTCCGCAAGATCTTGGTTTGACCTTATCACCTCCATAGAATTACTTGAGCGGAAGCCATGAAATGAAGCCGTGAGCGGATGCATCTTCGTCTTGAGTTCGCCTCGCACTTGTGAAGCGCATTTTAATAGCTTTGAATGAATAAGACCAGGAATGCACTAAAAATACTGTGCTCACCATATTCACCGCTGAAGGGGTCAGTTTGACGTCAACACCTTTGAGTTGACATGCCTCGCGCCAGGCCTCTTTCGCCAGTTTTGTCTCAGCTGCAATGGAATCCAGAAAAGGTGCCTGTGTGACGATGAGACACCAATAAACAGAGCAAGCAGTTATGAGAATCTCTTTTGAGATTTCGTCAAAGTCACTGGCTTTCACGCGTCGACGCAAACTGTCAGCATTGTTCTTGACCTTCGGCACCACGGTATCTTCATATGACATGTCATCAAATGATCGCTTGGTCCCTCGAGCTGCAGGCAACTGATCATTGTCATCATTGTTTGCAGCGTCGTCATCGTCGTCATCTGTTGACTCGTCAACATTATGCGGCACTGTTTGATGGAGGGTTAGTAGTGTAATTATATAAAGTAGAAACATACCTTTTGGTCCTTTAGTTTTATGTATGGATGGGTTGCGCAACCTCGGAGGGATTTTCCCTGTACTGAATGTCAGGCTATTAGTGTTGGACAACCTTGTATCAACACTGTGATCAGAGAACTGAAAAAAAAATTGTCAGTGGCTGATTTAAGATTAGGAAAGAAAAAAAAAGCTCGTACTATTGTGTCTTCTTGCCTGTCCATGTCGCTAAGGAGCTCTGACGGCTCTTTCTTGAAGATGTCAGGATGCCCTTGGTAGGCAGCCTTTAAGGTTTTCTTCTTCTGTTTTGCTGTCCGGGTTTCCTTGATTTCTTGGCGATGGACAACATGTTGGGATTTGCTGACTGTAGAACGAGATGGTGAGTGAGCAGAACATAATATGCTGGTACTTATGACGGTAGTTCTCTTTTTCAGTTGGTCGCCGCTCTCGACCACTTGCAGTGCGCACCTGCTGTTTCATGGCAGGTGGTGAGGGGGTGCACTTTGGCTTGGAGGTAGGCTTACGAGGTGCCATGGTTGTCTTGTCAAAGTACACAGCAGGTCAGCACAATTTATACCACTGCGAAACATACAAATAACTCACAATTGAACCTTAATAGTTCATTGATTGTTGATTTGTAGAATGAAGGGCTGAAAGCTGTGTCAAATGAGAGGTACAATAAAAAGGTATGATCATACCATCACAATTTATTTTCACTGTTATGAATACCCCCAACTCGTCAAAAAAATGGTATGGAGCTTGCTTCAAAACTCACTGCGCTCTGATGAATCTCGCAGCCCGATGTCACAAATTGCTGGTTGCAAAGAGGCTGGCTGTGAAGACACGAAAATTGACGTCAAAAGGTTAGTTGCCATTCCACGTTACACTCAAATACTCACTGGCTTGCAGACCCAAGCTTGAAAGGCCTGATGCAGAGCCCATGTTCCTGTGCCCTCCGTTTCGTCAAACACCCGGCCCTATCACAGCTTCCCAGAATTACATATGAAACCTAATTCTGGAGCGTTGGGAGGCAGAAGTGAAGGCCTGCGAGCAAGCAAAAAAACTGCAACTGTTAGAAGTAGCACCAGGCCCAGCTATTAGTATCTTACAAGCGAGCATACAAAGGCTCGTCGTTGAGCGCTGGGATGCGGAGGTGAAACAGTGCGAGGAAGCCAAACAGGCACAGCTTTTAGAGGTACTTCTGGCTGCCCATGGTATTTCCAAACTAACGTAGCACATCAAATTAGCTAGTATCAGAGACAAGAATTTAACATACTAGAATTGGTCATTTGCTCTCTCGATCTTGTTCTCTCGCTAGACGAGGAAGATACACTGTGTTGGGAACCAGGCAGGTAAGTAGCCAGGGTAAGCACACCTCATGGATCATCCTCAAAAAAAAACTGTACCTGATTGTGACTTGGCGCATGGATTGAGTCTAAACGAGGCTGTAACTTTGGCATACAGATCGAGTCTAAACGAGGCCGTAATCCATAGGTTTGTGAGGGTGTGTCTGGTGGCAAGACTGGGACTTGCACTTTGTGAGGGCACATCTGGTTGCAAGATCAGGGTAAGCACACCCCTCCCAATCAACAAAACAAGCTGCGCACCTCATGGATCGTCCTCCCAAGCAACAAAACTAGCCAAGACTTGCCATACTTTCCAAAATCAGGGTTGTGTGGTGTGGTGCTTGGATCAAGTGGTGGTGCAGTGCCCGGTAACTGCGCCCAGTTTAAGTCTAGACCAGGCCATTGAAAAAAAATGGGCATACAATGAGACAAGTCACACAAGACCAGTGCAAACTTATACTCACCTACTATGTCACACTGCTGTGCATTTTGTGGCAAGGAGTTCCCTACGAGGGGGGGCATCAAGAGAAACATAGCTAACTGGCCTAAATGCAGAAGGGCATGGGAGTTAATGATTGAAGAAAAAGACTTGGAAGACAATGCACCTTCTATGGAGAACCATGATGCTGGCCACTCATTTTCCCCACTTCGCCGCTCACGGTCCAACTCTTTCAACTCTTTCAAGGCTGATGAACATAATCCACCGGCACCAAAAAGTCGGCGTGTGACAGTCGAGGATGTTGCTGATGAAGGTGAGGTAGTGGAAGGTGGTGGGCGCTATTTCAAGCAATGTTCTGATGGTGGATGGGCACTGCAGGAAGGGGAAACTGAATTTGAAAGGTACCAGAAGTACAAGGAAGGCATGGGTGAGGACGAGTGGGCTCCATTTTGTGACGAGTACGTACCCTATTGTGTTTATAGCCTCTGCCTGACTTTAGCTGCCAGGGAAGAGTGGGGTCTCGCCGAGTGGCTTGTAAAAAGCCTTGGACAGACTCGAACCAATGAATTTCTAAAGTTACCAATTGTAAGTTTGGCATCAAGCACCAAAAACATTGTACTGACCAGCGTGATAGACACGAAACCAAATGCAACCTTCATTCCACAACAACCGATCATTCCTCAAGAAGGTTGATGAACTCCTGCATGGAGCCACCTGGAGCTGTAAGAAGATTAGTGTTCAGGGAAATAGAACAGACGAAAAAGGCAAACCGTTGCACGAAGATGTTGAACTGTGGATGCGCAATCCTGTAGAGTGCATCAAAGACTTGATCGGAAATCCTTTGTTCAAGGATCAAATGGTGTACACACCTGCTTGCGCATACATGGACTCTGCAGGACTCCACCGAGTGATAGATGATATGTGGACTGCAGATTGGTGGTGTGACATGCAAGTAAGCACCATACCAAAAAAACATCAAAAATGACAAGCACTGACCTGTGTTGTCCAGAAAAAGGTGCCGGAAGGAGCAACCATCGCGCCAATTATTCTTGCAACAGACAAAACGAGTCTGTCGCAATTCTGAGGCGACAAAACTGGCATATCCTGTGTACCTCTCTATTGGAAACATTGCTAAAGAAAAATGGCAGCAAACATCAGCACGAGCGACAGTCCTGATTGGTTACCTACCTTCAGGAAAGCTTGACTGCTTTACACCTGATGAACGCTCCCTTGCCAACCACTGACTATTCCATCATTGCATGTCCCTCCTCCTTCAACCCCTTGTTGCTGCAGGTGAAGACGGTGTTGAAATGGTGTGCACTGATTTGTTGATCCATCGAGTGTATCCGATCCTTGCTGCGTATGTAGTGGACTTTCCAGAGCAGTGTCTGGTTGCATGTTGCAAGGAAAACCGCTGTCCGAAATGTGTAGTTGCGGTGGATGAAAGAGGTGATCCACTGGATTTGCTGATGCGGGATCCTGCAGTGATAAAGGGGATATTAGAGAAGCGAAAGACTGGTCACCATCCTGCTGAATTTGAGGAATTTGGACTATGCACTGTCTATGCTCCGTTTTGGGCTAATCTCCCCCACTCTAACATCTTCCTGGCCTTTACACCCGACCTCCTACACCAACTCCACAAAGGCATCTTCAAGGACCATTTAGTTAAGTGGTGCCTTGATATTGTTGGCGAAGAAGAAATGGACACACGGTTCAAAGTGATGCCTGATTATCCCGGTCTTCGGCATTTCAAGAAGGGAATATCTATGGTAAAGCAGTGGACGGGGACAGAACACAAAGAGATGCAGCGTGTATTTGTTGGGCTACTTGCTGGCGCTGTCTGTTACGACTTGGATGGTATCTGTTGGCGACGCTCAAACAGAGCTTGTGTCGTCAACAGTCGAGGACGTCCTTGGGCTAGCCCAAGGTTAGGGGTCGTACTTGGCGGGTCTTCAGCAAGTACGATTTGACGCCTATGTCCAAATTGGGTAGCTTATGTCACGCAGGTGCGAGACGATAAGCTATATCGGCCTAGGCTTACGACACCCGAAGGTTAATCGTAAGGATCGTCGTTAATTAGAAGGACAGAAGTCCGACTAGTTTAACAGGAGCTTTGCTCGTTGACGGAGTCGATGAGTAAAGATCGAGACTATGGACTTATCCGCGAAGAGCAGATAAGAAGATAGAATATAGACTGCTGGCGAGGCAGAAGGATCACTCTGGTGAGAGTAGGAGGTCAAGAACCAAGTAGATTCAAGTTAAGGAATATGGTACATGGTAGCGAGTTTATATAGAGGACAGGAGGTGTATTAGTGGGTGATAACTCGTACTACCTGGAGAGGCAATCGGTAAAGGGTATAACCATAACAGGAAGGCACATTCGGTCGAGGTAGAACGTGCTAGATAAGGAAGTGAGTCAAAGATCGAAAATAAGAAGTGAAACGCGCAGGGGCACGATCGTGCAGCTGCGGATCTAAGTATAAGTCGCATGTGCGACTGCGTACCGAGTCAGAGATCAAGAAAGGGAACAGGGCAAAGGGGATGCGTTGTGCATCGTATCATAGGTTACCGTCCGGACGGTAAGGATAAAGGGGACTGTCCACAGGATCAGTCAGGTGGTGGAACGGAGCATGGGTATGCTTCGTCAGCGAAAGGGTCCGGCCAAATGTACTGGCTTTGCTGCAGCGATAGGTAGAGAGCGAAAGGGAATGCGAGGATGACAAGGATGACAAGGGTAAGGTCAGGGTAAGGGTATGACGCGAGGGCTGATACTAGGAGGATTAGGAGAAAAATGGTAGGGGCCCAAGCGTCTAGATGTTCTTGTAACACTGTCCCTAGGTAAGCTTCAATTGTTGCTAAGCACGAGGTTGGTGCTGACATGATTGTTTTGGTTTGCTTACCAGCCAAGTGTTAGTAGTTGCACGAGCAATTCTAGATTTTTCATACTATGCTCAGCTTCGAGTTCACTCAACTGAATCCCTCAATGGCCTGGAAAGCGCTCTGGCGATATTTCACGCCAACAAGGACGTCCTGCAGCAACTCGATATTCGCGAGCATTTTAATATTCCCAAATTACATCAGCTCTCTCACTATGTTCAGTCTATCCTATTGTTTGGTGCTACAGACGGCTTTAACAGTGAACTTGCTGAACGATTGCACATCGACTTTGCCAAAGAAGCATATCGTGCCAGTAACAAGCGTGACTATGAAGAACAAATGGCCTTATGGCTCCAGCGCCAGGAGGCAGTCTTCCTGTGTGGTTCCTACCTCAACTGGCTGTTGGAACAGTCTCAGTCGGCACCAACCAATTTCACTTGTGACCACGGATATGACTCAGACTTGGACTCAGAGATGGAAGGGCCAGACACTGTCCCTGTCAATACACTTCCCATCCTCCCTGAGCAACGAATGGTCCATTTTCTCGCTAAGATGCCTGCATATCCTCAGTGTTCGGTTCAGCACCTCGTCACTGCACATGGTGCGTCCATGTTCCTCCCAGCCCTTAAGTTGTTTCTGCGCAACCACATGCCACACACTATCATTACCCCTGGTCTGCAAGACCGTTTTGACATTTTTCGACAGGTAGTAATCACTGCTCCACCTAATCCACTCATCAGTGAGTCACCGAGGCAGTGGCGTGTTAGAGCCACGCTGTCCTGCATGATGTGGGAATCATGCATGGACATGAATACTAGGTGACCCTCAAAAGATAAAGTCTGCTAGCTTAGTCCTCAGACTAGTCAACCCATACCTTGGTTTCAAACCATGGTCCATATTTCCAGTTTTCCCCAAGTTTCATGATCTGAATACGTTTTGACGGAAAAAGTCTAATGTGAGATGGGAATCACATTTAGACCTAGTTGATGTGAGAAGGGAAATGAAGGTTAAGGTATAGCCTTGCCTTTGGCTTATTCACTTTGGCTAGAGAAAACCATAGAGAAAAGTACAAAGCCAATAAAAAACCTATCCAAAAAAGACCGTGTTTCAATTCCTGCCAACTGTCTTATTTTTGCTACCTACTTTTCTCTAGTGTTTCTTTACTTTACTTTTTCATTAGGATGCTTTGACTCACCTGACACTTCATAAAATTGTACCCATAGGGTATGATGTCATTATGATGTCATAAGACTCCACAGATACTCCTGCAGGTATTCTGTTGAAAGATATTATGTCATCAAGCTCTAGATTATTCTACTCTACAATGACATCATTCATGATGTCATTTCCTTCTAGAATATTCTGCTCCACAATGACTCACTCTGACTCACTCATGGAAGGTTCTGGAATCTTTTGCTCCACAATGATGTCACTCTTGATGTCATTATGATGTCATTACTCCACATTCCAGAATGTTCTGCTCCACAATGATGTCATAGCTCCATCTTTCACTTGTATTTTATTCTTTTATTGGGTTTGACCCAATATTTTGATTGGTCCTCCTTATTTTTTATTGTTTGTGAACCTAGGTTACTTTCCCACACAAAATGTATATAAGGAGAGCCCATTCTCCCCCAAAAAAATATGATCTCCCATTTGTAGCAATCTGCCTATCAGATATTTCACTTGCAAAGTTAGTCCCTTTGAAGTGAGACAAGTGCAGGGAAAAGAATTCCCTTGAGATTATAAGTTTCTTACCTTAGAAACTTATTCAGTGCTATAGACCAAGTGTTCTTGGTCATATATATTGTCTTTGAGACCCCTTTGTCTCATTGCTCTGTGCCCTTTGACTAAGCGATCTTAGTCATCTATCATATTGTTGAGACCACATCTCACTAGTTGTCCCATAGACCAAGCGATCTTGGTCAAGTTATAGTCCCCTTTGTTCAAGCGATCTTGAACATATATCGTATATTTGAGACCATTGTCTCACAGTCAGGTGTCCATAGACCAAGCGATCTTGGTCATATTTCATATATTTGAGACCACGTCTCACTAGTTCCAGTATCCAAGTCCAGAGCCTAGAAGGAGATTTCCTAGGCAAATACATTCCAGAAACTGAATTACGTGTCTAGAAGCTTATTCCTAGACAAGAGATTTGAGTTTCAATAAAGAAAAGTAAAGCTCCAGCTAGGTTGATCTTTATAAAAAGATTAGTTTAGCGAGCCTCCCAAGAACTCACACGTTATCTACCACGAAATAGGAAAAGTCGTAGACCGTGTTAATCGAGGACTGGCAAGCAGTCTTATCCAAAGTGTAATTGTGGTGTCATTACATTTACACGACTTTATATAAGACCCTCGGTTATTAAGACAACACCTGAAGTGCTTCCTGGACGTGGACACAAGCCTGGATCTCCCGCTAAGTTTGATATGGCCCTGACAAGCAATGGCGTTCAGCCACGCACTTTAGAAGGTGAGTAACTATTAGTTGAGCTGTCAAAAAATTCATGTTGATATCTTACTAGGTATGCGAGTGGGACAGGTTCACATTATTTTCACTCTGCCATGTCAATTTGGGACCTACTCGCAAGCCTTGGCTTACATTGAGTGGTTCACACCACTCAGGGAGCCGGACCACTCATCTGGCCTGCACCAATTGTCGTGTTCGACTCGTCGGCTGCACCGGAATGCAGCGGTGATACACGTCGACGAAATCGCTCGTCCTTGCCATCTTATTCCGAAGATGGGACAAGCTGTTGACCGTAAATGGACTAGCGCAAATGTCTATGAGTCCGCAAGTGATTTTTACTTAAATACCTTTATTGACCTTGATACATTCTGCATGTCCGCTATTGATTAGTTTTGTTGCTACTCAGCTACTATTGACTATAGACTTTAATTTGACTATTGTGCCTCCAAGTGTCTGCTGTAGCCTGCTGTAGTCTGCTGTAGCCCGCTGTAGATCTATATAGTCTGAGTCACGGCTACATCAGGTACATAGAACTATGGTAGCTATGTAGTGCTACATAGCTCTCTCCAGGGCTACCACAAAATTTGTTTTTTCCTGATGATGTTTGGCTCGCACTTCTTGTTGGATGTTCCAGTGGGATATTGTTTGGAGCCATACATTGTTATCTGGGCTGGACGTACTCTTTTGAATTCCAGCATGTTTACCGTTGGGTTAGCCTTATGCTAACATGTGCACCGCTTATTTTGCTCCTTTCTGTAGGGTGTAACATGTGGAAGGGCGACAGTGTCAGTGCACAAGATGGTAGCAAGAAAATTTTGTTTCTTGCTTTTCTTGGAGCATTAAGTGTTGTCCTGTATTTTGTTTTACGGGTTATATTATTCGGCTATACGATACAGAGCTTAAGGCTGTCGCTGCCTCCTGGCATACATGACACAGTAACCTGGACCCAGTATATACCACATTTTTAGTTCATCTCATGGTCATAATAGAATATGATAACTTGCATGTTCTTCTGCAATAACCATCATAAATCTGAAGTATGATTGCTGCGTAATAGCTCTCCCGATATGGCAAGTGGAGAGATGTTTCGATGCTAAACAGTAACTCATTCTGAACAGTATGCCTAGAGGGCCAGACTTGGGCCAGTTCACCAGAAGGTGAATATTGAGCGCAACTGACCCAAGAACTACTCTGGATTAAATCTCCTTGCATCCGCCACGTTTGAGTGCACCAAACCCCAACCAAACCGCTTACTATTATTTGACCATCTTGTGATACTGCCAATGCCAACTTGAACACCCAATCACTATGCTCTTCCATCTTCTTCAACACAACACCTGTCTCCAAGTCCAAAGATAAAGTATCTGGTCCTTCGAGCCTATAACCATTCATCGCTTATCGGGGAAGACTATGGCTGTCCTTACGGTCTCCTCTTCAAAAGTTTGAATGGGTCTGGTGCTTGGAATTGTTACAAGAACATCTAGACGCTTGGGCCCCTACTATTTTTCTCCTGATCCTCCTCGTATCAGCCCTCGCATCATACCCTTACCCCGACCTTACCCTTGTCATCCTCGTCATCCTCGCATTCCCTTTCGCCCTCTACCTGTCGCTTCAGCAAAGCCAGTACATTTGGCCGGATCCTTTCGCTGACGAAGCATACCCATGCTCCGTTTCACCACCTGACTGATCCTGCGGACAGTCCCCTTGCCCCTTACCGTCCGGACGGTAACCTATGATATGATGCACGACGCATCCCCTTTGCCCTGTTCCCTTTTATGATCTCTGACTCGGTGCGCAGTCGCACATGCGACTTATACTTAGATCCGCAGTTGCACGATCGTGCCCCTGCGCGTTTCACTTCTTATTTCGATCCTTGACTCACTTTCTTATCTAGCACGTTCTACCCAGACCGAACGTGCCTTCCTATTATGGTCTTACCCTTTACCGATTGCCTCTCCCGGTAGTACGAGTTATCACCCACTAATACGTTTCCTGTCCTCTATATAAACTCGCTACCATGTACCATATTCCCTAACTTGAATCTACTTGGTTCTTGACCTCCTACTCTCACCAGAGTGATCCTTCTGCCTCGCCAGCAGTCTATATTCTATCTTCTTATCTGCTCTTCGCGGATAAGCCTATAGTCTCGACCTTTGCTCATCGACTTCGTCGACGAACAAAGCCCCTGTTAACTAGTCGGACTTCTGTCCTTCTAATTAACGACGATCCTTACGATTAACCTTCGGGTGTCGTAAGCCTAGGCCGATATAGCTTATCGTCTCGCACCCGCGTGACATAAGCTACCCGATTTGGACATAGGCGTCAAATCGTACTTGCCGAAGACACGCCAAGTACGACCCCTAACCTTGGGCTAGCCCAAGGACGTCCACAGACCGTTGACGACACAGGCTCTGTTTGAGCGTCGCCAACAGATACCATCCAAGTCGTAACAGGAATGACTCGGAGGTCCGACATTTTACTGGAGATTGATAGTGTTGGGCACGGTTGACACTGGGTCTTTATCTGACAGGTGCATGTATTGTGCGCTTTTATGCTGCTTCACCACCCTAACCTACTTCGGTTCCATAGACACAAAGACAGTTAGCCATCACCGTTCCGGCAAGAATGCTATCTATCAGTCATAACTGCCTTCCTTGATTGCACTGGGTACATGTGTTTGACTTTGTCTCCACAGTTTCCAGAGCATATCCCCTCCCATCCAATGGCGATAGTGCATTTTCTACTTCCCAGCCTTCAAGTTTGACTGAAAGCTATCTATTTGCACAGATTGCCACATGAATATATTCATTTCAAGCTGTTTCTCCAACACTTCATCATGTAACTTGTCCAAGAGCATAGCTCACTGTAATAACAGCATCTCCTCATCTTGTCGACGATTCCCAAGATCTGCCTATGCACCAGATGCAACCGAATTTTGTTTTCTCCCATCTCTAATTCGCTCTTCATGAAGGAGTTTCTGTCCATCGAGACCTTTTTTTCCAAATCCTGATTTCAAAGCTGCCAGCATTGCTTCCAGTGCTTTGCTCCTCGCCCATCTTTATTTTTTCAGGCATCCCCAACTTCAGTCAATCTTGTTCGCCTATCACCTTCCCATGCCCATCATTGTTGCAATCCTCCACCATAGTGTTCAAGAATGGTGTGTTATCAATCACGGACCCAGTCCTCGACCCTTCTGAGACATCAAGTGAATGTATAACATCTGATGGATCTTTCACGGTACAAGAGCTTTCAAGTCCAAGGTCTCACCTTCGACTTGCTGTAGACTAGTATAAAGAGTCTGCACATCATGTTCATGATGTGTTTTGACTCTTTATGCCCATGATCTCCGAGGTCCAAAGGACATCAATGACAAAATCAATTATTTGCACTGATGATTGTATTTTTGCAGTGCTTGCTAGTAGCACCTCCTCGTCACATTTCACCTATGCTGGACCTCTTGCTTGTGTGCGTGGATTATACCAGGCTCACTAACAGCGCAGAATAGATTTCAGCCAGAATACCTGTCTCTTTTTCTGCACATAGTTTCCAACAGAGTGAACGTTTCAGGTAGATCATAGTTGTGGTGCTATGAAAAGTGTTACACATGGTAGAGTCGAGATTTTGTAGAATAGACTTATTTCAGACAGATAGAACAGTCCGAACGTAAATATATTTGGGGGTGGAAATGATCAACTGTCCTAACAGTAAAATAAAGGAGTCCTTATATACTGTAGGTACGGAAACAATAGGAAATTGAGTGAGTAAATGTAAGTATGACACCTTATAAGAATGAAGGCTTTTTAGGAACATTACAATAGTACATGGCTGGGTGTTTATTAGGGGTGTCGCGGAGGCAGGTGAATTCATTTTTCCTTCGCAACATCTTCCTAACGATTGAATCCATAGCCTACGTTTTACTTGTCGAAGATGTTTCTTATATTCTGATCTGATATCCATCATTGTGGTAGTGGGTGACTTCCCATAGGCTAAATAATGCAGAATATCTTATAACAGACTTTGAAAATCATTTGCAAAAGATAATCTGTATAAAATACTAAACCGTAACACATTTGGAATAAAAGAATGTGTATGTCCGAGTTTTTTCTTCATCACAACTAGTATGCTCTGGTGAACACATGGAAGAGATGGCATTGCTCAATGATGAAGAAGATGCGAGAATCACCTTGTTATCCTCGTGCTTTTATATGTCTCCCAAATTGCTGCCATCAGATGTGCAGGCGATTCTCGAAGTTCTAAGTCATTGATAGCAAAAAAAACCTGTGATGGTTGCATTAATATGTTAGCACACACATGTACATTGAGAAGTAAGATACTTAACTGAAGCCTAAAAGATGGATGGTGGCTGTTACTGGACAGATACAGGCAGATTGGAGTCGGCATTGCTCAACTCCTGGGCTGGCCGGTCGCAGTGATACATATTGTGCAGTCCTGCTGTTGCAAATCTTGAAACTTCAGTATTTTTTCACTGAGGAGCATAGGTATTGGACCGCACTTAAAAAACTGTATAGTCGAAGACATTATGATGAGGCAACAGCTGTCAAAGCTAAAGACGAGTGAGGCGAGGAGTCCTAAGTGGTAGATTAGTCAGCGGATAGCTGAGGCGTTAGTGGCCCAAAATGGCCTAAAACAGAAATAATCCGTCAGATTATTCTGTAAGGGCCCCCCCCCCCCTACAGATTTAGAGTTTATAAGAGGGTCAAGAAAATAATCTTTTGCAAATTCAACTCAAATGAACAGCGGCATCGCGGCACGACTTCCTTAAATGGGTTTTTTTTATTCTATTCGTGTTTATTCCGGATTATTCGAGCCTACAGGAAGTCACCCAATCATCCATGGGGTTTATTGGTTTATGATCCCTGGTGGAAAACTAAGTGGGCTTCACTCTAGATGGTATTAGTCGCCACGATTGCATAACTTAGCTGGTAGATGGTCATGAAACTTATCTATACCACATTCCGATGGCTATCGTACTTGCCTATCTATATGGTGATTGTACGTCAAATTGTTTACAATGGTGAGAAATACCGTGACCATGTTTCGAAAGACTACGGCCTCAGAGCCCATAGCCAATATGCCTGATTTCCCTTTCTGCCTGAGCATAGTTTCTTTCTTGCAGATGTCAGACGGCCCTGGCCTAACTACTGAAGCGGACCTTCGATCAAACGATACCCTTGGTGTGAACTGAGATCCTTGACACGACAATTCATTGATAGGTGCGTGACGACCTAGTGATGTAGTCCTTCTTGCGGTCTTGTTATAATGATTGACGCTATATACATTGTGACTTACAGCACTTGCGAACTTGAAGCTCGAGTGCTTGCATCTAAGCTGTTAACACGAATCATATTTGAAACTGGTGAAAGTATTAATTATTTCATCTGAAGTTCTGCGTAAAGGGAGCGGATTATATATTATCCTGTAGCATTGAGAAAACCGTCCAGGGACTCGTGTTGCGACTTGAAACTGTTCGATATCTGATTTTATCCTTGTCAGTCACCCCCGGCCTCCATGCGGGTTAGATCTAGAGGCTTTGTTGGACTCTCAAATTGTGCTTTTGAATTCGGTTTTGCTCGCTTCCGCCAGGCAAGGAGCTATATCCACTTTTGGACAGGTTTGTATTTTTCCTTTTCCGAACGTCCGTCTCGCAACTCTCGATTTTCAGCCACATGGCGTCGTTGCTGGCCATACGCCAGCTTCTTGGCCCCGGGAGCTCAGAAATTACCTCCTCGCAGTTCCACACCTCATCTATCGTGCTATCTCAATTGCGCAAGAAATCCAAAAACCGAATGGCAAGTCATGTAAGTCTTCTATCTCTAATTTCGATTCTCCTAGATATCAGACACTAATTTTCTTTCTTCTACTAGCCTCGCCACCACGCACCCGTCTTGCGAAGTCGCTCCAGCCAACAGGCAAGGCAAAGAAGCTCGGAAAACTCGAGATAGCAACATCTCGTCCAGAATTCAAGCGTGATGTCGTCCCGCATGAAGGCCTCGCGCCGCAACAACGTGCGAGCCCACCTAGGCGGATAACCTCGGAACCGAGATCTATCCCAAGGCGCAGGACACCAAACGACGATGCGGACGCTGATGCTCAGGTCAAGAACTGGGCCATCAAAGCTCACTCGGAACGAGTAGACAGGCGCAAGGGCCGTCGCACGTCAGCCTCCTGTCCCTCAAGTCAATCCCTTGGAAGAGGAATTTGATCTGGCTGCACCGGCTTCCTCCTCGAGTAAAGACCTTCCCACTCGATTCTCTTCTCCGCCCTTGATGCCTGGGCTGTTGGAAAGCTTACAAGAGACCACTAGGAAAGGAAGCAAAGCCAACTGCTATTCAAGCGTCGTCGATGAAACATTTATTTAAGGAACACGTGGAGGGCGAGAAGTACAAAGAATTTCTTCTTGCGAGCGAGACAGGGTCAGGAAAGTCGATAGCATACCTCCTCCCAGTATTGCAGGATCTCAAACGCACGGAGCACGAACAGTCCAACGCCGTTTCCCACAATTCATCTCGCAAACCTTTGAATCCACGTGCGCTCGTACTTGCGCCTACGCATGAACTCACTCGCCAACTTGCAGGCTTCGCGAAGAAGTTGTCTCACGTCATTAAGTTGCGCGTTATGTGCGCTAGCAAGGCGAACACACCCAGTACGGCCAAGTCTAGTGGAACCGCCTCGAAGATGAAAGGAAAATTCGAGGACGCTGGCGCTGCGAGTGACGCCGAGTTCGTCATCTCAAAATCTTCCCGTGGGTCAAGACCGGTAGACCTTCTGGTGGGTACACCGATGAAGCTTCTCGAGATGGAGCGCGGGAGAGGCTGGAACTGGGAGGAGCGAGCAAGAGAGCGAGCAATGAGGATAGGGAAAGCCAAGTCCAAAGAGCACGAAGATTTAAAGGAAGAAGACGGGGGCAACAAAGAGGCACCACGAGAGTTCTGGGTTGATGAACCTGAGATGGGCTTGGAGAGTGTACAGTGGGTGGTTGTAGATGAGGCAGACGTCCTGTTCGGTGCGTGTTTAACTCAAGCTATGCACAGGTTTATTGACATTGTACAGATCCGGACTTCCAAGAATCTACTCGCATGCTTCTAGCTGATATTGCTGCAGCGCGTGGTTCGCCTGTTCCAGTAATCCCTTCCTCGGCTCTATCCTCGACTCCAGATTCAGAAGCGACAACCAC